TTCGCAGACATATGGCTCATAACCAACAGATAAGGTCCCAAGTCTTCCCTGATCGGGGCCAGACCCTCCCTTCTGGCTCATCCATAGCTCAGCATTCCACACTTCCCTGCGCTGGACACAGTCTACACCCCAACCATCTAGAAACTCCTTCCTTAGATGGGGCTTGTATCCTGAAGGCCTCCCTGCTTTGTGCATGCTCCTTGCTACGCCCGGATGTCCTTATGCTCTCTCCCTCATCAACAGGGAGTTTTCTCGCTCATCCTTCAAGACCCACTTCTGGTGCCTCTTCTGTGAAGATTCCCAGTGGCCTCCCTCCAGACCTCTCACTTCCTCCGTGGCCTCTAGTCTCCAGCATATATCCCTCCTCCCCAACCGTGCTGCGGTTATATGCTCACGGATCTGCCTTCGCCAGGAGTGCGTCCGAGGGGAGATATCTGTCCACCTTCATGTCCATACTCACACCACCAGGTCTAACACAGCACCTTCCACAGCTAGACACAAATAAAAGAGAAGCAGGAAGCAGGGGGAAAGGGGCGAGGGCAGGAAGACGAAGAGTAACGATCCTACTTTGCAGAGAAGGGTCTTGGCGTCCAGGAAGAGGAAGGGGGCCCAGAGGCAGTTGGGAACCTAGACATCCCTACCATGACCATAGTCTGAGGCCTCTAAGAAGTACAGAGACCGGGGTAAATAGAGCTGAAAGTCTTTCAGGAGTCAATACGCCCGACTCTCCCATTTCACGGATGGGGAAACTGAGGCCCAAAGAGGGGCATCTGACTCTTCCTGGGTCGTCCAGGAAACTAACATCCAAGGTCCAGAACCCAGGCCTCTGCTGAAAGCTCTTTCCACTGTGCAATCAGGGCCCTGCTGTCCTCCCCCAAACATCCACAGGCTGTCGAGGGGTGCCCTGAGGTGTCGGAGTGGTGAATGCCAGTCGGTAACTGAGTTTGTAGGGGATCCTGAATTATAAGCCTGGGGCCCTTGGGTATGGCAAGGCTGGGATGAGGTAGGAAGAAAAGCCACTGAAGGAGGCAGGCAGCTTCGTTAAGCAGGCCATAGGCCCCAAGGATGCTAGTTGCTGGAACAGACCTTCAAGATCATCTGGTCCCACCTGTCCAGCTCTCAGAACAGGAAAGCAAGGCAATCCCCCCAGCCTTCCGGGTCCTGGGCCTCGGCCTGCAGCATGGCCAGCAGGCCTGGCCCGGCCCCTCTTTTCCTATACCAGCCCCTGCCCCAGGACCATTTCCTGGGCTGGACATGGTTGGTATTCCGGGCCCATCTATATTGCTTTCTCCTTGGCCATCCTCTTTCCCCTTCCTAGAACTCAGAGACAAATAGTCCTTCTGCCCCTGCTCCAGGAGATAGGCTTGGACGAGATCAAAGCAAATGACAGTGGCACTTAAAGTGGGTGAAACACACCGATGGTTGGAAAGAGTGAGGTCGAGCAGACGCAGAGGGGCTTCTTCCAAGGAGACAGGACAGGCTCTGGTGGCCCATCCACCCCCCTCTCTGCTGGGGCTGGCTCTGTCTCTGTCGGGGAGCTGAGAGAGGTGGCAGCAGGAATCCCTGTCCTGCCTCCCCATGAAGATGACGATGGTGGTGGGGACAAGGTGGGGGAGGACCAAGACACCTCAGCTGGGCCTCTTCTGAGCATCCGCCCCGAACCAGGCCCTGAACTGAGCACTTTCCCTGGTTACAGGCATTATCTCATTTAATCCCGAGGACAGCCCACAGGGTGGGTATTCATTTATGGATAAGGAAATTGAGGCTCAAAGAGGTTAATAACTTGCCCAGCGGGTCACAGAGCCAGAGCGTGGCAGGGTCCGGAGCTGCAAATCCCATGCGGTGAACTGGCTGGTAGTGAGGAGAGGAAAACACAGAGCAGAACCGAGATGCAGGGCCAGACGGGAGAGGCACTGAGCCCTTCCCCGACCCTATGGCCTTTCAGCATCAGGAACCCAGCTCCGGAGTGGGGGCACGGCTTGTCTAAGATCACACAGCAAAACAGGAAGCTGGGCAGCCAGGACTGGAGCACAGGGCCCAGGTCCCAGGTCCCAGGTCCCAGAGCCCCTTTCTCCCTGCAATTCCACAGAGAGCTCCGAGGCACACGCACAGGGGCCACGGGGCATGCACAGGAGGTATCAGCCTGCACCTCGCCACCTGTGGCTCCAACCTTTCAGGGAATGGATGTGGCTTCAAAAGCAACACCACCACGGCACAGTCACAGAAGTGGAAGATTGGAACGAGCGGAGCCAAAGCTGGAGACGGAGAACGGACTCCACCTGGCTCCCAAGGAGGACTGGGAAACAGATGGGGATGCACTCCAGCAGGCAGCGGGGCTGTTCTTGAGCCCTTGTGGAGGCGAGAATGCCCTGCTTTGCAAAAGGCCCAGACTAGCTGAGATAGCCTATATCAGCATGCCTGACATATAGCAGATGCTCGAAAAACATGCATTCGTTTCCTTTATATGCAAGGGGTGTTCCCAAGTTAGAAGAGTAAGTCTTCTGTAGGGAGCCCATTCATTCTTGATGCAAGAATTCATTGAGCACCTACTATGTGCAGGGTGTCGTGCCCATGAAACCCCTTCAAGCAGCCACTCTGAGCCCCTGCCAAGCAACCTGCGGTGCAGAGCCGGCCTTGGGCTCCCTGCAGGACAACGCGGCCTTAGGCTGCTCCCGGTGCCTCACCCTCTTCCTCTGTCATGCTCTGGCTGGCCCCGGAACTTCCACTGTCCACCTCCAAGGACATGGCCAGCCTCATCTCACCTCACTCATTCGGCATGGGGCTGATCCCTGGGGGTTCCTTCCAGAAGCGGATTTCTTGAGCCCCACACAGGTGCGCAACCCAGCCAAGGTTAAGATACAGACACACGATTTGTGTAGAACCACTGTAAACAAAAGGCAAAAGGGACTTTAAAGACCACTCAAAAGGTGTGATACACACTCCTGGCCTCCTGAGCATGACCCACGTGGTCCCTCAACCAGGATTCCAACTGTCTCTGGCTCTGATGTCTCAGGCGGCCCCGGGAAGCCTCGTCCCCCGGGAAGAAGGGCCCTTCAGGGAGGCAGTTCTCCTGCCTGTTTCTGGACCCATCCGAGGCAGAATGAGGTCCGAGGTGCTTTAGGAGCTATGGCACACTGTGCCCTGTCCAAGCCCTCCTGCAGCATGAGGAAAGAACTTCGGGGTCAGGGAGGTCTGGTCCAGATCCCAGCTCTGCCTCTCTCTGGCTGTGTGACTAGAATAAGCAAGTTACTTAACCTCTCTGAGCCCCAGTCCCCACAAAGGAAGATGATAACAGGCCCCTACCTATCGCCCAGGCTTGGTGAGAGGATTAAATGAGATAATGCAACTGGAACAACCTGCATTTTGCCTACCTCACAGGCAGTGGTCAGTAAATGAAAGCTGCGATTATTCTATTCAAGTCTCCACCTCCAAATCAATTGCTGTTTCTCGGTGCTCCCTGCGTGATGTCAGCTCCGTGCCCCCTGGGAAACAGAACTGAGCAAAGTCCTTTCCCCAGGCTGGTCTCCACCCCCCAGTCTCCGAGGGCCAGCCAGCCACACATGGCTGGGGACAGCTGCTGGTTCCATTAGCAGCCAGAGAAAGGAGCAGAGACGTGCATTCCCCTAAGAGTCAGGTTATTTTCCACTTCACCCGCCAATAATGGAAGCAGAGTGAGCATGGGGCGGAGGGGGAGGGAGGCTGGGGAGAGGCAATGCTAATAGGACTGCCTATTACCCCCCAGGCACCTTTGCCCACGGCCCCAAAACAGGCAGCTCAGAGACTCCCAGCCCAACAAAGACTCCCAGGGAGAGACAAGCTGTCAGCCGGAGCATGACCACCCTCCAGGGTGACCATGGACGTGGCCTCAGCTCTCGGGACAGGAAGGTGTCTCTCGACTTGCTAAGTGTCAGTCCACTTCTTCCTACCTGTGCCCCCGGACTTGGCGTTGCAGACATGCGTGAAGATGCCTGGGGAGGTGGCTTTGCTCCGCGGGCTCTGGGTCACAGGCTTGCACGCCAGACCACGGATGGCTTCAGTCAGAGAGCACGCAGTGCCGCCGTCTCCATGGGAGGAGGTCCAGGCCGACCAGCAGGAGCAGGCCAAATGAGGAGTTCTGGGCAGGCGAGGAGGGGGCACTGTGGCGCCAGGAAGTAGGCAGACAGCTGTGGAGACAGCGCTCCCCTCCTAGAAGAACCCTTATCCCAGAGGAAATGGCTTTCCAACAGAGATACCAGGCAGGCCATTGATCACCAAAGTGGGTAAGAGCCAGGATCCAAGGTCAGAGCAGTTCGTCTGAGTGTTCCCTCACATTCCCCTCTCCGTGGGGACAGAGAGCATCCTGCTCTGGGCACAGCTGAGTCCACAGGAAGGATAAGGGCTCCAGGTGATCCAGGGGGCACACTCCTGGCATCCGTGGTTGGTGGGGAGGGGGTGTGCACATGCTATGTAGCTGGGATATGCTCCACCCTGGGCAAAGGGCCTGGGCTCCATCCATAAAGCAGGGACAGGCCAGATATGAAGTGCTGTCCGTATGGGCTCAGGAACAGGTCTCCCAGGTGCTGAGAGAGGCAGCGATGTTATCCAGAGGGCAGCCAAGATCCTCAGAGAGCAAGGCCAGAGATGCAGGGCCAAGGTGGGGAACCAGAAATAGCCGACCTGAAGTCAGAACGAACCTCCCGTCCAGCAAGGACTCAGTCTAGTTAACTCCCCGTACTTGGCAGAGAGAAGGTGCTGATGAAATCTTCATTGGATGAATGAATGAACGAATGAATGAATAAACAAAGGAACGGACAAACCATTAAAGATGAAAGGCCACAAATGCTGGGATGTGCCTTCTTTTCCTGAATCCTTAGGGGATGTCATGTAAGTCCCAAGTACCCGCCTATGCCTGACCCAGCTTCCTAGCCAAGTATGTCTCCTGTGTCCAGGTCTTAACTCTTCTGCAACCTGCTGTTATAGAGAGAGCACTGTACCGGGAGTCATCCACCCCGAGTGTGCCTCTTTTTTTTTTTTTTTTTTTTACTGCAGCACTTTTTATTTCCTCACACAATGACGCGTTGCTGGGGCCTAATGTTCTCACATGACAGTAGAAAACCAAAATTTGTTGTCATCTCTTAAAGAATTGAGAATTGTGTACAAAAACCTTACATAAATTAAAAGGATGAATAAATTTACAGTTGTAAATGCAAACCGTTTTCCAACTCAAGGCAATTAACAACCCACGGTGTTCTGGCAGGAAAACATCGGGTAAGAAAGGAAAAGTGGGTCCTAAGGCTCGGACCTTCCCAGCCCTGTTAAGACCGGCAAGACAGAAATGACAACTCATTCAGGACTCTGGCCAGCCTCTAGAGAAATCCTGGAATAGGCAGCTCTTAGACATTAATACCCTGCACAGATCAAGAACCTCATGGTCTTGCAGATTCTCCAATCAATGGATTTCTCTTCCATCAACATGTTCTCAACCTCAGCCACGAACTGACCGAGCCACATGTGCTAAGGGTTTAAATCAAAGATATGTACAGGGTATTAAACATATACCAAGGGAACAGTTAACTTGGATACAAGGTCAAGATCAGCAACAAGTTCTACAATCCAGTGCCAATATCAGATACAAGCTTCAAGGACAAATTTCTTTTCAAAGGCTTATTCCAGTTTCATGAGGCTAGCATGAGGTGTATACATTTGCCAGGGCAAACTTATACTCCAGAATTCACTCATGCAGCAAATGCTACGCATCTGCTCGCAGTCCATTTAGAAGCATTTGCGGTGGACGATGGAGGGGCCTGACTCGTCATACTCCTGCTTGCTGATCCACATCTGCTGGAAGGTGGACAGTGAGGCCAGGATGGAGCCCCCGATCCACACGGAGTACTTGCGTTCAGGAGGAGCAATGATCTTGATCTTCATCGTGCTGGGCGCCAGAGCTGTGATCTCCTTCTGCATCCTGTCGGCGATGCCGGGGTACATGGTGGTCCCGCCAGACAGCACCGTGTTGGCGTAGAGGTCCTTCTGGATGTCCACGTCACACTTCATGATGGAGTTGAAGGTGGTCTCGTGGATGCCACAGGACTCCATACCCAGGAAGGAAGGCTGGAAGAGAGCCTCCGGGCAGCGGAACTGCTCGTTGCCGATGGTGATCACCTGCCCGTCGGGCAGCTCGTAGCTCTTCTCCAGGGAGGACGACGACGCAGCCGTGGCCATCTCCTGCTCGAAATCCAGGGCGACGTAGCACAGCTTCTCCTTGATGTCACGCACGATTTCCCGCTCGGCGGTGGTGGTGAAGCTGTAGCCACGCTCCGTGAGGATCTTCATGAGGTAGTCCGTCAGGTCCCGGCCAGCCAGGTCCAGACGCAGGATGGCGTGGGGCAGGGCGTACCCCTCGTAGATGGGCACAGTGTGGGTGACCCCGTCCCC